CAAGACTCGGTTGGGTTTCGATGGGACTCCCTTCCACACCTATGGAGTTGTGCATGTACATGTCCAACTGGCAAAAGGCTCGTCACTCAGGGCGCCCGCCACGTTCCCGGCATATAGAAGGCCCGCTTGCAATGAACACTGAGCTGCTCCCAGCCCAGTCCGGAGAAACATTAGTCCCTGTTAGCTTTCTTGAACCTAAGTTAGTCTGGTAAACTTGAGCATGGCAAAAAAGAAAAGTAAAGAGCAGATGGGAAGAAGGATGAGTGGAATTTACGGTGCACAATTTTCACCTACCTTGAATTACCCTGCTCATGTGGAACGTTAAAAGTCTACTAAAAATTCAAGAGCTTTGGAAACAGAATGGAACCAGCGCAGAACTACCTGTGTTTAAAATCTGTACTCTCTCCTGTTATTGTTAAAAGATGGTTCAGCATTTATGTGATGGCTATCAAAATGTCCTTATTTTTCCGCTTTTGGGCTCTTTTTTGGTCTGGACGAGGCAGAGAAGAGAGTGGGAGGGAAGGCCTGGGGAGTGGGTTGGGAGTAGAAGTTTAACAAAGGATCACTTTAACAGAAACTACTGAGTAATCGCTCTGCCCCAAGCCAAGAATAACAGCAGCTCAGTGTCAGCAATTAGAATCAGGTCAGTGGGGCCTTGCAGCAGTGCAGCCCTCTTTACGGAGCCCAGCATGCAGAGCTACTCGTGCTGATGTCACCAGTAGTCAAGGCAAGTCCCCCAACTCAGCTGAAAGAAAAGTGTTTTTGCTTTCTCCTTTAGGGCAGGAAGCCAGTATGACAAGGAAGCAGGGAGGGAGGACAGAGGAGACACACAGTGGGATTTATTAATCTACAACAGATCCACTCTGCCATCCCCAGCCACCAATACTCTGGCATGGCCCACAAGCATCCTGAGGATCATTTTAACATGAATTACTATATGTGGAGCACCTGGGATCGAATTGGAACACATAAGCGCTTATGAAGTGGTGGCTATTATTAATAAAACAAAAAGGGAGGAATCTATCCCATGACTCATCTCTGCCCACCCGACACTTGAATCCTGGGAGCTGTGATTGCTGAGCAGAATAAATCCTGAGAAAAAGAATGAACAAGAAAGTATTTTGATAACTTATTTATGAGACTGTGGTAGATGGGGGTGGAAAAGATGGCAACAAAGTTCCTATAAAATCAGTGGCTGAAATTTTATAAAGGTGACACTAAGTTTTAACACATTTAATCTCCCTTCCAAAGACAAGAGGGAAAAAAAAACCTAAGGGGAGAAAATTTTAATCTCCTTCCCTCTGAATGGATGGTTCTCCAAGTGTGGTTGCCAAAAAAGTGGGCTCAGTACCGCTTATGCACTTGTGCGATGTGGAAATGACTGAGTTCTCATGCCAAACCTACTGCATCAGTAATGGGTTAGGGTGAACAATCGGTGTTTTAACCAGCTTGAGTGGATCTGTTGCTCTAGATCAGGAGTCTGTAAACTAGAGCCTGCAAGCCAAATCCAGCCTGCCCCTTGCTTTTGTAAATAAAGTTTTATTGGGAGACAGCCACACTCATTCATCCTCATGTTCTACATGGATGTTTTCTCTCCCAATGCAGAGTTGAGAGGCTGCAACAGAGACCCTACTATGGCCTCCAAAGCTGAAAGTATTTACTATCTGTTTACAGAAAAATTCTGCCAATCTTTGCTTTGATTTAAAACAATGTTTTCAAACTTTGGGTTTCACCCATCAGAGTTTAAAAGCTCATAGTTTCAATTTTGTCCAGTTTTGTTTATCACACTCCCTATCATACCTATTTTCTTGTACCTCTGTCCCAGGAAACCTCTGCCAATGGCTCTGAGTGACTTCTTTCTCACATTGTCATGGTACTGGAGATCGGTCTTTTGCAGGTATGGATTCAGTGCATGAGGATTTCTATGTTTGTGCGTACACTGCTACACAGAGAAGAAGATCAAAGCTCATTCTGCATGAATGGTTAGAGGTGCTCACTTTCAAACTCACATCCTGAATCAGAAATTGCCTTCTTAAAATTAACACCTATAACAAATTGGATATCTAGGTGCTCTGACTGGAGGCAAAAAAAAAAAGAGGAAGAATAGCTGGATGTGGTGGCACATGCTGGTACTCCCAGCACTCTGGAGGGTGAGGCAGGAGGATCCTCCGAGTTTGAGGCCAGCTTGGGGTACATAATGAATTCAAGGCCAGCCTGTGTGACAAAGTGAGACCCTGTCTCAAAACAAAACAAAACAAAAAACAATGGGAGAATTTTCTTTGAATGTAATGGGAGAAAGGCCACATGATATTTCCCCAAATATTTATTAGGAAATCACTATGTGGAAGATACTATTTATAAAAAATAATTACTATAATATAAATATAAAGCTCCCTTAACATCCTATTCCCCAAACAGGTTTTTCTTATGAATTAATGCTAGGTAAATATGATTTCAATTCTACCCATTAATCTTAAACATGTTATTAACCAAGTTTCTAGTTACCTATACTTCACAAAATGAGAACAAAGTGAAAATTCATTAACAGAAGTATCATCCCTATCTGATGATTAACCCAAGAACAGAAATGCAGCATATACTGAGAATGCACACCAGGCTTTAATCAATAATTTGGATAATGATAATGGTCAAGTTTAACACAGCTAAGCTAAAAATGAAGGCTTAAAGTCTAGTGGGGCTTTGCTTCTGCTATGGAGTATTTCTAAATGCCCTCTGAAATACAGTGCTCCAAGATACTAATTATTCTTTGTGTTAGAGTAGTTAAAATCTTGTTATCTTATTAGTTCTAAGCCATTTAAACTAACAGAATTTATTTTCTTTAGCTCTCTCCCTAAAATCCTACAATTGCACCATTACTAATGTTTACCTAATCAGTTGTGGTTTAGAAGAACAGGGGAAAGAAATAAAATGTAATACATATATATAAAAAATCGTGATGAATGATTTTTCTCTTCTCTTTCCAGGAGACAAGAGATAACTCCCTTCTTGGGAGTTCTGCCTCCTCCCTCAGACAGATATTCTGACAGATTCTAAAAACCATATTTTCCATATACTTCATAATTCAGTGAAACTAAACCAGCATAATCCTCAGTGAAAAAAAAAATTCCATACAAGAACAGCGGCACTCTGAATTTTCAAAGGAATGTGAGTTGCTGGAAGCTAATCAAAAGCATGAGGAGGGCTTAAAAATGAAGCAGTTTCTAAAAGTGAAAATCAGCAAAACTGTCTCCCCTTCCCCAAAACTTTAATGCTCTGCAAACAATTCCATTTATTAAAAAAAAAAAATCATACACCATGTCAAGGTATTTCATGTGTGGTTTAAAAGGGACCAACTGCCTACATTCATTAGAGCCACAGATAAAACTCACATAAGGGAAATAAACCCACATAGTGATGTCTCCACTACTCAGCATCTGATTCAGCCGGCACTCTCAAATACTCAAAGGAAGTTTAGAAGTTTAAAAAGCTTCAAGAAATTTACACAGATTTTAAAAACAAAACAAAACCCTAAAACACACATTTATATCTGTAATTTTGAAAATGCAAACTGACTTACATATTTCTACTGTCCCAAAGATTTTCTAAATAAATTTCTATGTGACAAATGGCAGTGTGGTGGTCAAAATGAGATGCCATTTTTTTATGCTTTCCCTATTAAAAAGTCTGGATTTTTCTCCAGTATAAATAGCTTAAAAATTACTTCAAAAATGTCTGCATTTACCATTTCTTAATTACGATGCATTAATCTACAGAGTACACTACCATAGGTAAAGAGGTTTAAGTGATGAACTATGTTGAACAAATAAAATGAACATATTTTATTGTGGACAGTAGTTGAAAAGGTAAGCAAAGATAGAGGGTGTAATGATAAGTGATTTACTTAAAGGATAAAGAAACTTTGGGAAATACTCTTTCATCTCTGAATAAGTATTAACTCTTCATAAATTGTTGCAAACTATACCGTACTATACTGTACTACATATTTTTATAAAATAAACAAACAACCATAGCTTACATTGACACAAGGTACTTCTTCTACAACCAAGTATCAGGGAAGCCCACAGGTCAGTATCAATTCAGCCCAATAACCCTACTGTGGAAAAAAAAAAACGCTACTGTGGAAAACAGTAGCTAATTCTAGGATAATCCTGAATCATAAGGAAAAATTAACTGTTGTGGCCAGACTTTTTTGGGGAGATCATCCTTTCTCTGTGATGGGGCCACACTAACAGAACTGGTGTAATATACTTAGACAGCTCCTCATACATGTTCCTGAGGAATGTCCATCATTTCACAGACATCATTGTCTAGGAAATCAATATTTCTTTTCTTTTTTTGGTACCGGAGATCGAACTCGGGACCTTGTGCTTGCGATGCAAGCAGCGGAACCACTGAGCTAAATCCCCGTCTCTGAATCAACATTTCTGTGTGGAAGTTCCTTAAAAGCAAGGATGTTTGTGTGGATGGTCATGGTTACAGTCCCATTGTTTAAAACAGTGCCTAGCACATGATAAGACACTCAATGAATGTCTGTCATTTACAGAAAACCAGCAACCTTAACTTTGTGACCATTTCGTACAGGAAAAATTTGCAAGTGATTTATTCTTTAGAAAATCTTGATAGATTATGAGAGATTAATATGTACTTATGTAGTAGTACATTTTGAAATAAAGATGCTTAAAATGCTAGCTTTTTGGTATTTGGGAATTAGACCCTCCAGGAGGCTACTGAACTAAGATCATACAACAGAAAGGGTATTATTACAATACAGATTTTTGTACATTCAAATGAAAGAACCATGTCAAACACTTGTTTGGCATCACCTTCCAGTGAAGCAGTTACGGCTCCCCATGAACCACACAAGCCAGGCTGGTGCTGGGAAATTCACACTACACTGCCCATTCATGCATCCTTAACTGTTTTTTTATTTACCAACAGAAGGAAGATACTTGTATATGGAAAAGCTTATCTTGAATTACCTGGTGCCGAGCTCGACCCTGGTCCAGAAGTTGCCGGGACTGCAGTTTTTGTTGTTCAAGATGTTGGAGGGCAAAATGGAGTTGGTAACTGCCCGCCGTGGGGAGATACTTGTGCTGGGGGACCACCCCTGTAGCCTTGCTGTATGCGTTGTTCTCGATCTCTCCTTCCCAGGCAAAGCCACCTGCTTGGAGTCTCCTGAAGAGAAAAGAAAGCAGATTTCTTGGATGATTTTCTAGCAGAAAATAGAGATGTGTCTCAGGCATTTTTCCTTTATGAACCATATATAGTTTGGAATTAGGAATCCATTTGTGGGATAAATTATCTAGCCACAGCTCCATAAGGACAAGGACAGAGATTGCTTTGCTCTCCATTTGACCCCCAGTGCTTATCATGAGGCCTGGCACATGGTCAGTGGACAGTAAATATTTACTGAATGTTAAAGAACTGAAATAGCAATTTCACTTCCCTGTGATTGCCATAAGGACCTTCAAGAAGAGTCTAGAGAGCTTCAGATTCCTAATTTAGGGTAGGAAGAGAGTCACAATCATCTTCTCTAACTATCAATTTCAAAAGTAAAGGAGTAAATTACACAGAACCCTCAGTTTCCCTTAACCATCCATTAGTGAAATATCTAAATCTTTTTTAGAAGCTAATTATACTAGAGCTTGTATCTCCATCACAAGATAATATAACTGGCACGAGAAGCTAGTTTCATTTTTCCAAATTTACCTCAATGTGGCCCCCACTTGGGCTGACCATGAGCTTATGTACACTGAGAAGGCAAAGACCTGGTACCCTTTTTGACTAGTCAGTACCTATGACAGTGGTAGCGAACCTATGGCACATGTATTATTATTTTTCTTTTAAGTCAGAAGGTGTTAATGTAGGAGTTGTTTTTTCCAAACTAAAACCTCAGTATTCAGGTTTAATTGCAGTGTTGGTACTTTGTGATAAATAAATGGGTTTGGGTTACAATTTGGGTGCTTGTCTCTAAAAGGTTTGCCATTGCTGTTCTACGCTATACTGTTTGTTAAATACTTTGCCTGTCTTTCTCACCTAAATTCTTATATCCTAGATTCTGGTGACCACGTCTGTGTACATACAAGTAGAAGTCTTCACAGAGCGATGGCTTACATGCTAAATGGAACAAGTTTGTCAAAAAAAAAAGATAAGTAGAATATGATTCTGCTGATAGGAGGTACCTAGAATAATCAAATTAGAGAGAAAGAAAGTAGATGGTGGTTGCTGTGGATGGGGAATGTTTAATGAGCATAGAGTTTCAGTCTAGAGTGAAGAAAAAGTTCTGGAGATTGATAGTGGTGATAATTACACACCAGTGTGAATGTACTAAAGGCCACTAATTGTACACTTAAATGTTTAAAATGATAAATGTGATGTTATACAGTCTATATTTTAATACAATGTTTAATGTCCTACTTGTTCTGAGAACAATCTTATTTGACAGTTCTTCTACCTCCTTAACACTTCTAGTGATTCTTCTTTGGACTTTCATTACCTACTCTATTTTTTTCTTCCTTTTGACCAGAAAAACTATTATTATTCACTAAAGAAACATCATAAAGGCTCTCATAGTGAACAACTCTACACCAAACCCAGGTGAATGGTCTTGGAGAAATGAAAGAGAGCCCAGTTGGAGATGTGCTCTTGGTGATTTATGCTATTGAGGCTGGCAGTGTAGCTCAGTGGTACAGTTCAAGCTTAGTATGCATTAGGCTCTAGGTTTAATCCTCACGACTAGAAAACAAATAAATCACTGTGTTAATCTTTCCTTTGGCATTAATGATCATTCAACAGTAGAGGGGTATCAACAATGGAGGTATGTAGACCTCCCTGAGTCCTGATCGAAAGGACACCTGGTCATTTATAGTCTGGGTCCCAATGACCCCCCACAGCACACTGTGGAGGAAACAAAGTAACTGTCCACAGAGCCCAGGAGTCTGTGCCTCTCTCTGGCCTGTCACCTCCTTCATTGCTTGGTAATTTCAAGTCTCTGCTCTGGTTTCCCAATTTCTCTTGAATGAAGAGATTCCTAAATAGCAAGTTAAGGAAAGTCTGTGAAATATATTCTGAAACCCATGAATGGAAGGATTTTATTTAAATAATCTCACCTCTGCAATGTCACATTCCTTGCACAGGGACAGGATGCTCAGTTTGACTCCCACCCATGGTTAAACCGCTCAATTACAGCTAATCTTTTTGGAGAACAGTACCAACAAGCAAAGAGCTTCCTCCTTGTTCTTTTTGTTTGTTTTTGAGTATGACATCTGATCTTCAATGATCCCTCTGGAAATGCTGTGATGTGCATGCTATTATACGGTTAAAAAAACGAAGCTTTCCCAAGGGGCTTATGGAGGGATGAGGTATCCACTGATAAAATGTAAGTGCCTAAACATAGTAATGAAATGTAACATTATTCAAAAAGTAGAGTACTGAGTGGGAGTAAAACTGGATTACATGGTTAGGAAAAGAGGAGCCAGAAGAACCTGTTATCTCTTTTCTCATTAGCAAAGGAACAGAAGTTCACTGAAGGTAATATATAAGAAGCAGGCTGGGCAGCCAAAGGCACTGAGTTGCAACTAGAAGGAGGGGCGATGGAGAAACCTGAATAGTTTTTTTGAGACAGGGTCTCCCTATGTAATTTAGGCTGACCTTAAACTCACTATGTAGCCCAGGCTGTGCTTGAACCCAGTGCAATCCTTCTGCCCCAGCCTCCTGAGTGCTAGGATTACAGGCCTGGATCACCATGCTTGGCAGTATACAGGTTTAAATGAAGACAAAGTTCAAGGAAGGGATGAGCAGTCCAATTAACAAATGAGTACAAAGAAGGGCAGGTAAAAAGTAGGAACTGCTTTGGCAGAAATATTTTGACATGTCCATGCTACTTTGAATTTAGAATGAAATTATTTATTATCAGTGGACCAAAGTCAGAAAACTCATCAATAGTGATTCTGCTTCCATTCCTGGCTTGGGTGCTGATTAAAGAACTTTCCAGCCACAGGTAGCAATCTATACTCCGTGCTTTTTTCTTTTTGTTTTTTGAGACAGGGTCTTGAACTCCTGATCCTCCTGTTTCAGCTTCCTGAGTGCTGGGATTACATACATGTACCATGACACCTAGCTAGTCTGCTTGATTTGATATTAGAGGAGTCATGCAACTCTGCAGCTTATATCAGAATTCACCATACTAGGTAGCAAGATTGGTTTTGTTTGCTAAAAACTGTTTTAATACAAACATTCCAAGGAAACATTCACTTTAATGCCCTCTTGTTGCATATTGGAAATCAAATCTGCAACTAACTCAGCATAATTAGGGATGATTGTGGATAGGTTCTTAGGTATGTGAACAGAAGCAGGAGTCAATAGATGTATAGAGGGCAGGGTATTAGACAAAAGAAGATCAAATAAGGGACTTTGGGTAAGAAGTGTTTTTCCAATTGCACACATATTGAACAGACTGGAACATCACAAACTTTTATAATGAAATGTTTTTAATCTCATCAGCAACATAAGCTCAGTCTCCAAATCACAAAAGGAAGCTTCTCAAGCAAGTAGAGGCTTTTAGTAAAGAGACGGGAATTTTCATAGTGCAACTATGGGTAGGGGCACAGGGTGTTCAGCTGTGCAATGCAATATGTGCCACAAGAAACTTGCCTGCTTTGAGCTACAGCGGGGCTATGAGGCCATGGCAACTAGCACTGAAAGTACCAGCCTTTAGGGATTGCAGGGTTAAAGGGCAGTGGTGACCGACACAGAAGTGGCCAGGAACACTGCAACCTGGGCTTTCCTGGATTTCTGGGGCCTGAGTTTACTTATCTAAATATTCCTTTCTATAATGCCTAATAGTTTTCATTCCTTTCAAAATCCCACCCCGTTTTTTGAAAGTCATTTTTTGGGCTAGTAATAGTTTTTACCTCCACCAAAATTTTAAGAGTCAATTACTCTCTTTAAAATTTTGTTAAATTCCTTGTCCAAAATGTGTGGGACTAAAATCATTTTGGATTTTAAAAAAATTGAAATATTTGCATATATATATAATGAGATACCTTGGGGATATCTTTACAAGCAAGAACATCCAACCACTTCAATGGCAGCTTCTGGAATACATACATGTTAAAGACAGCAGAGGCTATACTTTCTTCTTTTATAAATTCTTAATCACAGAGAAGCTCTAGCACGCAGTAAGTGTTTACAGTCCCTACAGATGACAGAAGGACTCGCATGAGCAGTACAAAGTGGTGCTAGCCAGAATAAGAAAGTTATGTGATTGGAGAGGCATTATAATGTGATGGCGATCTCCCCGGGCTTTGGGGTTTATTTCCAAGAACAAAATTAGAATAGTTCTGCATGAAATGAACATTGTATGCTCTATTACAAATGCTTTCCAGGGCAGCTGGAGTTGGGTCCTATTCAGAGATCAAATGGATAAAGGCAAAATTAATAAGCTGGAAAGGATCCTCTGCCCCAAGGCCTTCCGTACATCTAACTTCTCTATGCTTTATGATTCTCAAACTTTTCCCATCCCAAAAATGGAGATATGATAATAGCACCTATCTCACAGGGCTGTCGTAGGAACTGAAAAGTTAACACAAGTGGAAGTAATGACAAATAGGAAGGGTTCCAAAAAGAATTACCACTAGTACTATTATTACTATTCTTCCCTCAACCCAATGATTCCATTTCAATAAGCCAGAGCTCTACAGTTCTTTGAGGCCAGATACAGAAAACACAAACTTAGCCATTTACCAGTAAAGCATTCTGTACTGCAAAGTTAGCAAATATAGTCATCAGTATAGCAGTACCACTTGTGATGTCAAAAAGGCTCCAGGTACTAAAAAGAAAAAAATAGGGCTGGGGATGTAGCTCAGTGGCACTGCGCCTGCCTGGCAAGTGCAAGATCCTGAGTTTGATCCCCAATACTGGAAAAAAACAAAAATGAACTTTGACCACTATTCTATTCCATATACACAAAAAACTGAGTTGGATCATTGACTTTTTTAAGTCTAAAAGCTAGTAGTATCATAGAGTCTCCAGAAGCAAATATATGTGTGTAAACTTGTGGTAGGCAGATTTCTTAGGACACAAAAAGCTCTGATAATGGAAAAAAAGAATAATCTGAATTTCCTTAAAATGAACACTTATACTCATCAAAGGACATCATTAATAAAATGGAGTGG